AGACAATTTGTATTTTTTAACACTTGAGTACCAGTATTGAAGTGTGTGGCATAAAGTCTAGCGGGAGGTTTTAATTTTTCTATATTTTTCGCTCATAAGTCATTTTGATACATGGTTAATTTGTTAGAGCATTTTTGACCCACTCAGGAGCAAGGACATCGCTTTTGGCTCTGTGGGGACATGGCAATGGTTGGATGGGGACTTCCGACTATGGGGCTTCTCATGCTGTAAAGGAGCAGTGTGTCACGATCTACTGTTCACTTTGCAGGGACACAAGGCAGTCGATGTGTCAGTGGCTTTTATATACTGTATGTTGTTTCTGTTCAGAACATGTTATTTCCTGGTCTGGTTGTCGTGTATTGTCTCATGCTTTGGTTTCTTCTGGTTGTCCTGCATGCTTGTTTTTGAATCATAGTTTCCCTGGCAGGCCTGTCGATCTGTGACGGAAGGTGTCACTCGCTTCGTTTTTTGGATGGATGATGGTCGCGTACCTCCCCCATCGCCAGGGCCGATCCCATTGCAAGATCGCCCCATTGCCTTGGATGGGCGGTTGGATCCATTGCCCTTGGAAGATGCCTTACCATACCAGATGCTTCTGCTTCTGATGCAAATGGTCGGCTTTTGGACAATGGATTTTTTTATGTGTTCGATGGAGTCACCGATGTACTTGAGACTTCGCCCCGGAGTTGGCTCGCGCTACCTGATGAAGCCGGAGCTCACCGATGAAGAGGCTTGAGGATGCCCATGTGACACATTGTGACACTGTCACATGAAACGGACAGGACCGGCAGGAAGCCAGGAATAATAGCTAGGTGGGAAAAGCTCACCCAGCTTTTTGGAATCAACTGCTTGCTGTGACAGAGACCAATGCAGCAAGCACCTTTTGAATTGGAATCATTGACGAAAATCGTCAGTCTGGAATGAACATAAGCGTGGGCCTGATGGAAAGAAACTCAAACTGCATGCAAACACGCTGAATCTGACACTAATGGGGTATAGTGCCTCAGACTTTGCGTGTGGTTTTTGGTCTAAGGCACAGGACTCTTGTGTTCATGCGGTTTTTGGAGTGGTTGTGTGGCGTCCACCAAAGCAAGTTCAACGGCTCTAGAAGTTTGATGTTCATCAGGGATGCAGCAAAAGCGATGAATGAATTTTGGGGAACATTGCATGAATTGGGTGTGTGGATCTATGGTGATGCAGCTGCATCTTTGGTGGCCAAAGGCCAATTGTTTTGCAATTTGTATCAGAAGCTTGCCATTTTGGCATTTGAAAAGGAACGCTTGTTGTACAATATGATTCCGAAAGCACATCTGTTTCATCACGTGGTGACAGTGATGTGCATGCAACACTCACGGTGTGGGTATGTGTGGAACCCACTGGTTGATAGCACCCCCTTAGACGAAGACTTTGTGGGACATACAGCGAGGATTAGCCGACGTGTTGCTAGCAAGACTGTTCAACTCCGCACACTCCAAGGTTGGAAGTGTGCTGTGCTGGTGGCATTGAAGGATCGCTGCTGAGATTGTCAGTGAAAAAGTGTGCTTTGTTTCTTTTCTGTTCCGTTTATGCTCGCGTTCGTGCATTAAGGTCATAAGTGTGCCTGCATGAGTACCTTCTTGACAGGTGCCTGTGAAGGCACCACCCTTTCAACAAAACCAATTTCGCTCGATCGATAGGTGCCTGTCAAGGCACCAACCATTTAACAATTCACCTAAAGGGTGAATGAAGCTTCACTTTTTAAGCAACAAGCTGATGAATAAGAGACATTGAACTCAATTGTAAAATGCGCGCAACATGAAACGACCGTATTTTTCATACAGAAAATGACTGTAAGATGAAACGACCGTATTTTTTTGAAACGACCAAAAAAAATGGTCTTTTTCAAACGACCAAAAAAAAGTGGTCGTTTCAGGTTCCAGGTATATATATAGTAGAGTCGGTTTTGCGAGTCCGTCCAATTTCGGGAATCTGGCTCTTGCAAGCGAGGTCGTGGTCCAACACTTTCGACTTGGTCCTGGACAAGGGCCTTCTGGGTCCCAAAGCATCCGAAGACCCCTGTGGCATGGCTTTGGGTCAGCTCTTGGCCCAGTACCGTCGAGTCTTGCAGCCAGGTGAGGGTTTGAGTTGATCTTCGAGCTCCACGGGTGGGTTGAAGATGGTTGAAGTCCTGGATCTGCTCAGCTTCTTAGAAGTATGGCTAGATCATGCAAAATCTGCATAGATTCTCGGGGTTCACTAGCTGATCCCACACACACAAGTATCTATGACTAGATCTCTTGGGTGTCAGAAAGGTGTCCTCCCCAGGTGGGCACACTCTCATCGTCTCCCTGGCGCCCTTGAACAGCTTCCGAGCCTGGCCAGAGCCAGCAGTTGAGTCAATCTGGGAAATGTCCACGCACGACTTGCCGGGGAGTGTGCCTCGAAATTGCTCCAACGGACTTTTTTTTGCAAGAAAACTTTCTGCAATGGATCTCAAAGGAGCTACTTCTCCTAGAGTGAACATACTGTGGATGGGGCTGGTGGGGATTCACAAGATGTCAAGACAGGCGCCTTTTCATGCCTTTTCTCCCTGAACTGTTTGCTTTTGCACAGGTCCCTTGTGCCATTCAATTAGTGATCCTTTGAAAGCAGCTTCACTGAGCACACCTAGATTCAACATGGGCTTGAAGAAAAAAAGCTAACGGCCTTGGTCAGTTTGCAGTTTTCCCTTCGTTGTCTCCCAATCTAAGGTTGCTTATTTGCTGAAGCTGAGGGGAGGCGCATTGGACGTGCAGACATTCCCATGCTGGGCCTCAATCATTGCAGCTCTGTTTGTAGACATTGACTGGGGTGGGGATAACCAAGTTTCAGATAGCAGGAAATGATGGTTGGTTCCTTTGTGGAGCCTACATCAGTGTTGTAGTTCATAATTTACAGTTTTTGCGTATGTATTAGTCTGTGATGAACCACCTGCAATACTGCTGTTGGTGAAACAACGATAATCTAAAGACACGGAAGCTGTGACTTTTGGGGCAGAGGGGATCTTCGAACTGCACATTCTCATTCATCCACTTGGACCCGAGGTCCAGGTTCACAGGAATCCAGCGCTTTGTTTATGTTTAAGTGTGTATTTCCAGCAGTCACAAAGGGGCGCCTATTGGAGTATAGGGGTGCCCAGAACATCCACCCACATTAGGGCCTACATTAGGGACTAAAACCACCCCATGGTTGTGACTGGTTGATGTGTCTTGGTGTTCTTCTCCGAGGATTTGAGCGCCGAATCAGTCCACCTCCGTGTATCCCTCACTGCAGAGCAGCGTCGAAGCCTGCAGCTCTCCACCGATGGCCATGTCGCCCGGGTCCAACGCCCGGAGACCGACGAGGCCGACGAGCAAACGCTCGCAGTGGTGCGGGGGCGGACGAGGGGGTCAACACTCCAGCGTAGCTCAAGCGGTCACGCCTATGTCACGCCTATATGTTTTTTTGGTTTTGTGCCGGGTTTTTCATCTCAGCCTGTTACTCTTTCTTTCGTTCCAACGGTTGTTATCTTTTTTTTCGACCACACCGACGACAACGCCGCCCACCAGCTCTGTCTGACGGTGCAGGTCTTTGAGCTCTCCTTGCCGTGGCACGTCACCTCGGCCAAGTGGACCTCCCAGGGTTTGAAGCTCAGCGCTGGATGAGGCTGTTTGGATCCTCACGGCTGCACACTGGCTGGCGCCATGGAGCTGAAAGAATCAGTGTTGGAGCTGGTGGAAACACTGGAGTGGACATCGAACACATCAGTAACACCTCCGATTTTCTTGCAGAGACGAAAAGGAGAAACTCGACGGACAGAGGCTATGTTTTGTGAAGGGAGACGAGTCAGTTGACGGATAGTCAGTGGTGGTGCTGTCACGATGACGTGTTGGCAAAATAGCTGAGGCATCGTCTTAATTCTTTGTGGTCAAGCACAAACAGCTTTTTTTGTCGGTGGGTGGTCAGGCAGATTGTCATGCAGAACTAGAACAAATAGAAGGAGGAGGTGTTGAGGAAGATGTTGGAAGAACAGCCAGTTGGTGTTTACTCTTCAAGGTTGGGCCTGAAGGCAAGACCAGGACCAAAACATTAACATGGCATGCTCATGGCATGTCCACATCAGACGAAACTTAGCAGAGATCATCGGACGATGACCCAGCAGCAAGAAGTTGGATCCTGTTCTCTCGGCGATGAGCTGCAGATGCACCCTTCAAGAAGCATGCAGCGCACGGCATTTAGCTGGCTGACCATGCTGTGATCTTCTTGCTTATATAGCCGCTGGTGCATTGTGCTGTACACGCACGAGATGTTAGGAGAAGGCTGGAAAGAACATTCACCTATCAAAGGGAACACTGAAGCCAGGGCCAAGATGTTAAAAGGTATAGGTCCCGTTTTTTCATTGACGCGCAACAACGACTGGCTGAGTCTATTTTAATTTTTGCAGCACGTGCTGAGACGAGTCTTTGCGCAGAGGTGCATCTCAATCTGCTGTCCAGATCGAAAAGATGCCCGTGTGGATTGTGGACCATTCAGTGTAGGAAATTCTAAATGAACACCCTCATATCTCTCACTGGTTTTGAGACAATCTGAAGTCAGAAGCAAGGTCAGTATTCAGATCTTTAGTGGACCATTGGCGAACCTTTCGACAGCAGATTTGCAATGTTGATTATATTGATAAAAACCTCCAGTTTGTGACTTTGGCGGCTCCATGGCTTTCTCAATCAATGGTCTCGTCAAGCCATGTCCAGCCCCAAAAATTAGACCACATTGATGCCACGTCATGAAAAAACACACACAACATAAATATCATATCCTTCGACTTTCCTGGGACACGTGTGTTTTTTGTTCTTATGTACCATACATACATAGAGATATATATATATATGTGTGTGTGTTGGTTTTCAACTTGCTCTTTCACCATCAAAAACAACAAATTCTACGGCCTCGGTCCGTCGAGTCCCCGGTTGGGTCCCCGGTTGCCCGGTCGGTCCACCGGGTGCCAGGCCTGAGACAGCAGCTGATTCAGAGCTCCGAGGCGCGACAGCGGGTGGTAGTTCGGTCCCATTGACGCATTTCAATCAGCCAGGACCTTGAACATTTCGATCCACTTCAAAAGTTCATGGTCAGAATCCTGCAACAGCGTGCATGTCTCCCTTTCAACAACATGCGCCACCATGACATTTGCCAACGCCTGGCAGAAAGCCGCCGGGTAAACTTTCAGCTGTGCCGTGCGCCAACTCTTGTCCGCATTGCGGCCAATTGAAGTCTGTGTTGGTAGCTTCTTTGTCATCTGAAAGAAAGCCATTCTGGCCTGCACATTCTTTGGAGGACGGACCATCATCAATGAAGTGGGTTTAGGCAAATAATCTATATATATATATGAGATAGTTATATTTAAGAGTATGATAAGTGGGTGTCGGTATTCCAAATCCAGTCCTTTAGTTGATGTAGTATTTAAGGATAGACGATATAATGCGCTCGTAATGCGTCAGGCGATCGTCATGCGTGTGTTTTTTCCACCTGGAGCTTGGGTGCTTGCGACCTGCCTGGCGAGGTCCTCATTTGGTGCCGAATGCGACGGGACATGGCCTGCGAGAACTCGGGGTCGGGGGCCTGTGAGCGAACGAGTCAAATCGATGTTTTGTTTCGCGGAGTGGCCAATCCTTCTTGGTTTGAATGTGTTCTTTCGGTTAGACATGTATAGACATGTATATAGACATGTAAATAGAACACATATTTTCTATATATCATTAGTCGTATAGCGCCATCAGCGCCAGCAGAGATGTTAATCAAACGGGAACATGCAATAAGATCCATCCAAAAGTCAGCAAACATCCATATGTTTTATGTTCTTTACAACTTCTCCAGCCGCCATCAGTGCCGCGCCTCAGCCACCGTGGGTCCAGTCACGCCTCTGGAAGCCCAGGCTCCGTGAGAGTTTCGGGCACAACACCTGGAAGGAGTGGATGAAGGCGGGACGAAGAACCGACGTGAGCCAAGCTGCTCGGAGCTCTGAAGGAGCTTGTTTCGCAGCTCGAAATTCACCCGTTCTGCTCGTTCATGTCGCAGAAGCCTTTGATGAGAACCATTGAGGACCCAAATCATCCAACATCCGAGATTCTTTACGCAATGGCAATCCCTGTTCAGCAGAGCACAGATTGTTCGCTGAGATTTGTGCCCAAGAATTTGTTTTGTTTTTTTGTTGTTCTGGGAAGACCAAGAGATTGGCCTGGGAAGACCAGGAGATTGGCCCTGTTTGTTGATTCAGAATCGATCTGCGCCAGGAAACCGCCTTCAGTCGGAGGGCAAAGTTCCCGACGACGGCATGGAGAGTCACCACTTGCACAGGCTGGTCGGCCGATGAATAATAGCTGTGTGTGTGTGTTAGATGGAGAGACGAAACCCAAAGACCCCTGAGAAAAGGACACAGATTGACAGGCATTGATTGGCCTCAAGCGCGAAATACACAATCACAAGCACGATTGAAGTATGCATTTGTTGCGTTTGTCTCAAGATGCTAGGAAGCCTAGACGGTTCCCGGCATGTCCCGGCCACATTGCTTTGATCCACCCGTTCGATTCATTTGGCTTGCACCATCAGGTTTAAGATACTGATAATGCAAAGACCGGATTAATAAACCTCCACCCCCCCCACATGGTAGGTCAACAAGGTCAACAAGGAATGAGATAACCACTCATGAGGTCCACTCCCCCCTGAATTATCGGCTCAGGGAGCCATCGTAGTCGCAGTCGTCGTCGGTAGTAGGTAGTAGGTAGTAGGTAGTAGGTAGTAGGTAGTAGGTAG